GTTGTCTGACTCACCGAACTTGTCTTCTTTCACTGCCTTTTCTATCAAGCGTGCCTTGACTCTGATAACTCGGCTCCACTATACAGATACTGGGTATCGATTCTCAATTGACTTGATTTTCTTGTTCTCTCACATCATACATTGAACATTGGTGATTTCAACGATATCCGGCGGCAATCGAGTAAATCTTGCTGGGCACAGAATATACTGTAGTGTTGATTGACGCGGTCAATTCATTCTCACGGGATACAAGCCAGAACCGAAAGGATTGGGTGTATAAGGATTCTCCATTGCGCACGACATCCGCTGCCCGTGTTCCTTTCTCAACCACCCAAGCCCAGCCTATACTTCCCTCCTTTTTCTCGTCTTCTTTTGGGCTCCTAATCAGCCTTTCCGTCACCGTGGCTACCCTAGGACTCAGTGTGTTGGCCAATCTTCCATACTCCAGTCCGGTGCATTCTTCGTCCCAATATCATTCGCTGCCTGGTTTTCCTCTCGCCCAACCAACCGGCTCCTTCTCTCAGGCTCCTCTTCGTCAATCTCCAGCTCACCTGGAGAGAGGAGGAGCCCCGCCATGCCCAGGATCATCTCAACAATCGGTACTGAGAGATTTGGAGCACATGTCGCCCCCTGTTTCTGCTCCCTCCATAGGCGATACTCGTTCGTCCGAGAGTCGCGGTTCGCTCGAACGGAAAAGACCTCGCCTGGACGATGACTCGGATAGCTCAGATCATGTTCGTTCGCGACCTTTCTCCTGGCAATCATCTGACCCGTTGGGGTATGCATTGAATTCGACTGGGCAGTCTCGTCCCATTGGCGTGGAATCGATTCTTAATCCTCCGTCCAAGGTGCCGAGCATCAAACCAGAAAACGGCTGGGAAAGTCATGGGGAAGGACAGTCGACTGCAGCTTTTTCTTCACACACTCGACACCCGTCCTCGCCGACGATGCATCTTCCCTCGCCTACACTCCACCCAGCTAAGCGACTTTCCTCCTCTCCCGGGGTCAGAATCCATCCGATTATAGCGCCTGCATCGCCATCAGCTCGATTCCCTCCTCTTGGGGGTAGCTTGAGCTTGAAGGCTGGACCGGCCCAGTCTCCACTCTCTCAAAAATCACACCTGAGCTCGTACTCCAGAGGTCCCAGCTCGCCCCATTATATCGACTCTGTTCCAGGGCACCCCGTATCGACCTCCTCTCACCCGGGTTCAGCCCCAATCCTGGCCCCAGTCTCGGTGCAATCAACTCCAACTTTCCATAGCCGCCAAGTGAGTGGCAACCACACACCTCATCCGAGTTCTCAGGAAACCAGTCCAACAACGCCGGTATCGACTTACAGTCAATTTGGTCGATCGTCTCCGGCAACAGCAGTGGCTCCCATGCCACATCACACACCTTCGTTCGGAAATACTTCATATACAACAGGAGATGCGGCGAGCCGGCTACCTCCTGCCATGGCAGTACCGCGGCCTGGGGACGAGTCGGCTGAGCCACCACCCCCTGGCATGATTCCGTGTTTCGTCGATACGAAATCGGGCTCGTCGCAGCAGGCGGAGAAGCGGAAGGCTAACAGTGACGCCTCAAGAAGATTCCGCAACCGCAAGAGGAACGAAATGCAAATGGAACAGAAGATCACTGCGCAGCAGGACGAGATAAGGAAGCAAGCCGAGGCTCTGCAGAGACAAACACAAGAGATTCGGGCATTGACTCAGGAGCGCGACTTCTACCGCTCCGAGCGAGACTTCTTCCGTGACCACTATACTCGCCTGGTACCTGCAGGACAGATGCCTACGAGGCCAACATCTCCGCATGCGTTCCGCACGTCTTTTCTCACAGCCCCTGATCAAGATCGAAAGGCAGCTTGGCACGGACCCGAGGCAACTCGCGAAAGCCTGGAATCCGCACGTGGGTCCGCAGCAAGCAGGACTTCGATGGCCGATTCGAAGATGATACCCTTGTCGACGGCACGGCCACCTGTCACATGGCCTACCTCTTCGGCCTCTTACGGCACGATGCACGCAGAGCGGGGCATAGTACCTGTTGAGCGACCCCCTAGAGAATTAGCACACGTTTCTGGGGCATGGACACGGGGTTCGTAATGCTCCTATTGTGGGCTGCGAGAGGGGACACAGAGACATCAACCACATGCCCTCAGTCCCTCATGCAGTACTATATCTTGGGCAGTATCCCCGAGGGCGTTCGTTTCTGTTAGGGCAATCACTTTCTTATGTGCTTCTGCCTACATTTTCTTGTATAAGATTCTGGAATCCTCACAAGTTTTTTTTAGAAGTTGGAGGAGTCATTATTTGACGTAACATTCTTTTCTTCTTGACGGGGGAAAGTGTGCAAAAAAGAGATATTTACATGGCTTACATGCTGGAAGGCTTAGAACTTTTGATGATAGCAATGGAAAAGGCGGCAATTTGTTTTTCTCCTCAACCTTTCTTGTGTACTGTTGAATTTTTACTGGATGCGACTTGACATCGGGATGGATGTCGAAAATCTTTTTCCTTTGCAACATTCCTGGGATTTACCTTTTCTTTGTTGGTTGCTTTCGTCTTGCACGTGGGAGGACTACTAAGACTTGGTAGGTTGTGCTGGGATTGCATATGTATGTAACACTATATCGCTGGCCAACCGCCTGATGTGATGTTGTGGCACCTCAGACTCTGCCAGCCCTCACACTTCTAGAGACAGTATTAGTATGAGCTTTGAGTCATTCAAGCAAGAATCATATAGAGATCCTCACTACCTTTACCTTCATTACACGACGGTCTATTTTGACAATGGACTGGGGGTGGGAACGTCGTACCGCTAAAGCGTACTTGCATGGAACCGACTGACGAGAGCTGCAGATGGTCAGACAAAGGCTATCAGGGTTAATCTCGTAGATTCAGTATGAGTATTATTGTATGTACTGTGCCTCTGTACCGTTCCCGGTGGCCATTAGTCGACACCTGAGGATTCCGGCAGTGATGAGATACGACTCGGGAGGTCCTCAGGCAGCTACCACTCATATCTACCCATATCTACTACCCAACCAGAAGAAGGGAAATCCCCCACGTGGTCTGCCCCCTAGATGCGATACTCCACAGCCATGGTCCAATTCAACCTGGGTCCCGTCTCTCTCCGGTACTACTTACTACTTCTACTGATGTTACAAGGACTCTGTTACTGTGCTCCGAACCACATCCCGTTTCTACTACTCCTATACCCACTTAGCAGTTTAAGCACTCCTCGAGATCAATTCTATTCTCGCACGTGGGCTACCAGTGTCGCGTGCTAGCTTTCTAGCTCCCGACCGGTGTCGCACATTTAGAGCCATGGGTGCTCTCCGGCCACAATAATGAAGGGACTATATGAACCACCCCAGCTCGCTGGGGGAAGACCTCGTCAATTGTTGTTTCTTGCGAACAGAAAAACTGTGATTGCGGTTATAATGGGCTTCTTTACCATCCTGCTCTCGCTCTACCTCCTCTCTGGGTATGTAGAACCTGACTCTCCCCATTCCTATGCATGTTGCTTACCGCCTCCTCCAACCTTGCTAGAGCATCCGCCGGTCCGGTGGTTAGATCCCCCAAGCAGAGCTCCTCGACCTGCGACAGTGTCAATGAGGGCTATAATTGCTTCTCCGAGATTTCGCATCTCTGGGGCCAGTACTCCCCTTACTTCTCGGTTGAGGAGGAGTCCGTCTCTCCGGCTATCCCTGAGGGCTGCCACGTCACTTTCGCACAAGTGATCTCCCGCCACGGTGCACGGTACCCCACTGCATCCAAGTCCGCAAAATATGCCAAAGTGATCGCAAAGATTCAGGCCGGTGCGACCTCTTACAAGGGGGATTATGCCTTCCTGGAGACCTACAACTACACCTTGGGGTCGGACGATTTGACTTCCTTCGGGGTGCAGCAGATGGTCGACTCGGGAATCAAGTTCTACCAGCGCTACGAGTCTCTGGCAAAGGACGGCACTCCTTTCGTTCGCGCATCCGGGTCAAGCCGGGTGATCGAATCTGGCCAGAAATTCATCCAAGGTTTCCAGAACACGAAGCTCAATGACACCTTGGCCCTTCCCGGTCAACTTGCTCCCTTGGTCAATGTGGTGATCTCCGAAAGCACCAACGCTAATAACTCGCTGGATCCCAGCACCTGCACGGTCTTCGAGAACAGCGAACTGGGGGATGATGTTGTAGCCAACTTTACTGCCCTCCTCACGCCGCCCATCTTGAAGCGGCTGGAGAAGAACATTCCCGGAGCGAACCTCACGGCCAAAGAGGTCGTCTATCTCATGGACATGTGCTCCTTCGATACTATCGCACAGTCCGAGCCGGAGACTCAGCTCTCTCCGTTCTGTGACCTCTTCAGTCATACGGAATGGGAGCAATACAACTACCTGCGTTCCTTGGAGAAGTACTACGGGTACGGTGCTGGAAATCCTCTTGGTCCTAGTCGAGGGGTTGGCTTCACCAATGAGTTGATTGCTCGTCTGACACATACTCCAGTCCATGACGAGACAAGTACCAATCGCACTCTGGACTCGAGCCCGGCCACATTCCCCTTGAACTATACTCTCTATGCGGACTTCACACACGACAACGGGATGATCCCTATCTTCTTCGCCTTGGGCCTGTACAACGGCACCAAACCGTTGTCCAAGACGAAGGTGGAGTCGATGAAAGAGACCGATGGGTTCTCGGCGGCGTGGACCGTTCCATTCGGTGCGCGAGCCTACGTTGAGATGATGCAGTGTAAAGCACAGCCGGAGCCTCTTGTGCGGGTGCTAGTAAACGATCGCGTGGTTCCGCTGCACGGCTGCGCGGTTGATAAGCTAGGCCGATGCAAGCGGGATGACTTTGTGCGAGGATTGAGCTTTGCTAGATCTGGCGGGAACTGGGATCATTGTTTCGCCTGATGTTGATGCTTTTTTTTTGGCTATCTCTAAACCACTTATACTGGTAACAATGCGGACTACCTGGGCTCTGTGAGCAAATCGATTTACTTTTTTTCATACAACTTAGCTAGTACAGCATTAGCCATACGTGTTAAGATTTTCAGGGATAAGAGGTTCGGCAACATTCTGAGTGAACAAAAACCCATGGGCTTGTCCGGTAAGTTCGATTTCGTTTATTGTCATCTTGCTTTCCTCGTTAGGAAGGTAGACTGTGCATCATTGTGGACATCTTGTCCACAACTTGCTACCGGAGCTTTTCTTCCCATTCTTTATCTCTTGTATCATTGACGAGATACCTGACATTGACCATATTTCAACCCTTGAAAGGCATTTAGTATATTGAAATCCCCACCGCTTCTAGGACATAATTGACGGAATCCAAGTTCAAGATTGATAACAAAGATGTGTTCAATCCGAACAATATTCGTCGTCGGCAATCCTCAACCTCGACACAAAGGGAACTCGGAGATTTGATGCGTCTCTCGTCGCAGCGAAAGAGCATTTCCCGTGCTGGAGTCTATAAATATATCGGCCGTCTGGCCCCAAAATGAGTTTTTGTCAACCTCATAACACGGGACCTCATCCACTCGACCAACCTACTTTGTCAACGCCAATTGACCCCAAGATGGAACAACCACTCCGTCACGGACTAAACGCCGAGCAGAGCCCCGCGAGGCGGTTGCTCTTCCTGATCTGCCCTGGCGGGTATAGTTTTGTCCAGCAATACCCAACCGTGCTCGCCCGGCTGGCCAGCTGGGCGCGACTGGTCTGCGTGACCAGCGAGGCCGACTTCGTGCGCAAATGGAACGTCTGGATCAGCGACCCCACCTACCGCGTGGCGGGCTTTGTCCTGGTGGACGGGGCGATTTTCGAGTCCCGTAACCGGCACCTGATGCGAAGGCTCGTCGAGCTCCCGCGGCGCATCGTCCCCTATCAGCGCCCGCTCACGTTCTCGACGCCCGTCGACTCTCGCTGGTACGACCAGGCACCCAACCCTGAGTTCCGCTACGCGGTGGCCCTGAATGCCGCCCTCTGGGCCGGCAGCCATCCCACCGAGTTCAACCACTGGCTGTACGAGACCTGGCAGATCAAATGGCAGGTCATGCCGGGCGTCAGCGCGGCGGCGCCGGAGTTCTATCTGGGCAGAGTCGCGCGCGAGACCGCGGACCTGATTATCGAGGCGTGGTTCCAGGGCGCCTTCCTGTCGCGGGCCGTGTTCGTTACTGGGCCCCCCGTGGACCCCTACCGCGTCTGTGACCACGACTCGGTCCTGCACACGTGCGAGGATGTCCTCCTGCGGACTCCCGAGGAAGCCGACGCGGAGTATCAAGCGCGCATGGCGGCGCCGCGGACAACGGTCGCCCCGCTCGAGCGGGACAGCGGGGTCTTGCACCCGGATGTGGAGCCCATCTACACCCAGAGGACCGATGAGAACCCGGTGACCTTCCCCATGCGTCCGCTGCAACAACCCCAGCGTCGTCGTTGGCGAGGAGCCCGTATTCTGCGGGAGCACCATGCGGCGACGCTGAACGTCAACGTTGCCGAAGGGGGGGCCCCGAATAGGATCTTTGCATTCATCGGGCTCATCGACGACATTCCCGAGGTCGGAGGCCTGATCCTCGATATCTGCAACATCCATGATGGGGAGATCCAATGGACCGCGCCCGAGCTATCGATGCCTGAAGGCGAAGACGAGCCATACGATGCGGCGGATGAGAGACCGCGGAGGGTAAGCCGTCCTCATCTTGAACCCGAAGAATACGATGCGGAGGATGAGAGACCGCGGAGACGAAGATCTCGGCTTTACCTGCAGCTTGAATAAGCCAGCTCTACTAGATCGTAATCCAAAGTAGAAATTTGTGTAGTGACCGATGTATCCTTCGCCGACTGCATATCAGTCCTAAGCTCTGCCTATGCCTACGCCTGACAACGGTGTCAAACAACCATAAAAACTGCGCCAGAAACATATTTTTTACGCTTTCGATCCTTGCCTTGATCAAGTAATAATATACATGTCACCAAGATACACCATCACCCGGTGCCCGGCACCCCTCCTCGACCAGACAACCCACATTAGTAGCACCACGACCAACGCCCTCATAGTATCTATTCCCTCCCCTCCCCATTCCCCCAGCTACCTCCTCCTCTACTCTGCCCCTGCTGCCCCTGCTGCCCCTGCTGCCCCTGTCCATCCCCTCCAACCAACCGCTTCGGCTTCTGATTCCCAACCGCTAGACAGTGACGAGTCAGTACACCGCTTTCCCGGGAACATCACCCAAAACAAAGAGGGGAGGGTGACATACTCCGCTCATAGAGAATATAAGACGTATACATCAGAATCGGCAGCGCCACGATCGTCGAGAGCCATCTGTTTTCGCCACCCCCGGGGCGGAGGGGGGTTTGGTCCATTAGTTATCTCGTGTCCTGCTATCCTGGTGCTGTATACTCGCCCTGGGTTGATGATAAGGTAGCTTCCACCCTCTCTCCCGTGTGCAGGGGCGGGTATGGGTATTGGAAGTGATAGTGCTAAGAGGGGCAAGTATATGCTCATCTGGGAGGACACAACACAACAACCCCATCCCCAAGCATGCGCTCTCCAACCAAGTCAAGACAAGACAACTCAAGCAAAAAAAAAAAAAAAAAAAAAAAAAAACAAAGGGCAGCGGGGAGAAGAGGGCACACACTTCCTAGCGGCAGCTTTATACTCCTTCGTCTGCCGGATATCGTTCGCGGGGAGCGGAGGGCGGCGGGAGCCTCCGCCTCGCCCTACTCTCGGGCCAATGCTTCCTGGGGTCCGGGAGGCGAGAGGCGTGTGGCGGAGGTGAGCTTCGGGGAAGACGGCGCGTTGGGGAGTGGGTTTGGCAATGGAAGGTTGAGCGTGAGACTTGGGGGTGGGGGTGGGGGTGGGTGGTTTGGATGTGCGGGAGGTGGGAGTGGAGGGGGGCATTGTCTTTCTCTTTTTCTTCCTCGTCGTTGCCTTATTTTGTGGAAGAGCAGGAAAGGATGAACAGTATGAATGAATGGGAGAAATTGGTTGGATAGGGTAGGGTTTGTGTTTGGATGTCCCAGGAGCAGTGAGCAGTAATAAGCGTCAGATGTCTTGATGGTGATTTGATGTTGTTTCCAAGGGTGGCTTGTCGCCAGCCGGAAGGGAAATTCTTTTTCTGGGGAAGTGGACGGTGCCTTGGGGCCTGAGGCAGGCATTGCAGGAAACAACTGGGTTGATGGTGATGGGTTAGTCGCTACACTCTACACTCTACACTTTACACTACACTTCGCAGCATTCTTGAAACCGCCTGTCACTGGCGACAGCTTCTTATCTTCAGATCTCGATGGATTTGCACCTTCTCAATTTCCTGTGCAATACAGTTCCGCTGGTGTCCGTGTCCTCATTTCCAGCTTTCTCCATCTCATCGCAAGATGCATCATGAACCGTGAGCCCCCAATCCTATCCCAATTCAATCTAAAAGTACAAGCACACACGTACACACAAAAGCATCCGCAGGTCGAAATGCAACGTGCAACGTGCAACAAATCACAGCATGCAGCCAGTTTCCCATCCTCAGCTTACAATCCTTGTATTCGAGCAACCCGTCCCGATTACCAGTACAGACATCAGTGTGCAAGAGCGGGAAGAAAAGAGGATTATAGTTGTAGGTATGATCGAATCCCGAGTTCCCAGAACCCAACACGACAGCAAAAGCCATATCTCCTTCCATGGCATGATGATCCTCGTCCTCCGATGTTGATGATGATGATGATGATGATGATGATAGAAACACAATCGCTATGCTCAGCTAATTCGCAAGATTTATCGCAAGGAAAAAGGAAATAAAAGGGACAAAGTAGTCGTGCTCAGCCGGTAACATGTCTCGAATCTTGGTCTGCTGGGACAACCTTGGAGCCAGGTGATGCTGTTTCCTTCCCCAGTCCGCTCTGTGTTCATGCCCCCTCTGACAAGTCCATCCGCCTCAGCAGGGGTCGATTTCGCTCGTTCTTCATATTCCACCGTTCCGTTTCATCTCTCAAGGGCCTTCGGTCTTCACCCTCATCGTGCTAGTACTAAATTCGTCGTGGTCGGATTGTTTGTCGATACTGTTCTTGAAGTGAAAACCTTTCTGTTCAACGGTCGTTGACGTCTCGCAGCCCAGGGTCGAGACACAAAATAAGGAAGTGACCTGACTCCAGCACAAAGCATGCATTATGTGGATAACAGCGCATGAGACGTGGGGGGTAATCGAGGCCGGAGTTCCCTCCATTCCACCCGCCACCCCCTCTTCTGTCTGGTCTCACTTCGAAAAGTCGATAGTCGTAAAGAAGGAATGACTGCGAACCAGACAGAAGAGGGAGTTGTGCTACTGGTCTGAGTGTGTGAAACGCGGTAGGTGGAAGGGAAAGAGACCGGTCGCCTAGGTGGTGGGCTCCTTCTTGCGGGCGTTGGCGCGACGCGCCCTCTGCTCGGCATGAGTCTGGAATTCCGCCATCAACGCTGCTGCAGCTCGCCGCCGGGGCCGGCCACCAGGAGTAGTTCCTGGGACTGCGGTACTGGCTTCGGTGACCGGAGTCGAAGCCTGGGGGGCGGGAGCTGTGGCAGGTGTAGGCACAGGTGCAGGCGCAGGTGTAGCAGTGGCGTTTTTGTTCCCGTCCCCAGGCGAGGCTGGAGTCGCCGTCGACTTGGATGGAGTCGAGACAGGATCACGGCGCAGGCCGGAAAGTTTGAGAAGCTTCGAAGGCCGGCCCTGTGGGGTCTTGCTGTCTGGAACACCGTTCGCTTCAGGCGCGCTCTCGATCTCAGAACGGGTGCGCTTCTTCGATGAGTCATTTGGAGAGCCGCCGTTTCCCGCCGCAGCGGCTGCCGCAGCGGCGCCCTTCAGAGTCAATTTAATGCGCAGAGTCTTGGGCTGGTCTGCCGCGTGAGGGGGAGTGTCCTCCTTGCGACGTCGTTTGGCGGCTTGTGCGGCCTCGGTGGGTTGCTCTGCGCCACGGCGGCGCTTGCGCGGAGCCGGGCCCTTGTGTTCCACCCCCGAGCCGGATTTGTCCTTGTCACTCGAGGTCTTGTCATGCTCAGCAATCAGGGCGTGAATGGCAGCAGAGGGCATGAACCGGTCCACTTCAATGCCGCGTTTGCGTGCCTCGTCCCGGGCCTTGATCTTCGCTCGTTCCTCATAAACGTTTTCATAGGTGAACGGCATGTGCGTCGCACGTGGGATGTTTCTCTCGCCCATCAGAGGGGGAAAGCCAAAGATACGGTCCTTTTCCAGCTGATCGCGCGAAATGAGGCGGACAGGAGGCAGCGGCAGCTTATCATCCCCGTAAGTGTTGTTGGGTCGATACCATTCGTACTCGCCGCCAACATACACCAGTTCCTCGCCGAATTTGTTGACTTGGCCTGTGTAGGTGAAGCCGTCTTCGTCAGTCCACTCCTTCGACTTGTCCCTCGAGGAGGTTGGCTTACTGGCCCCTCTCGCCTTCGCTTTGTCCTTGGTCTTTGTCTCGTTTGAGGGTTGCTCCTCGGCGAGAGGCCGTTTGTTGCGTGTTGCACGCACCGGTCTCTGTGGTCTCGACGCTTTTGGGAGTTGCTCCGCAGGTGAACTGGTTTTCTCGGCTTCGCTCTCAGCTTTCTCTTTCTCTGCAGAGTCATTCTTCGCAGATTCCTTCTCCGCAGATTCCTTCTTGGAGGCTGACTGTGCATCTGGCTCTGCATTTGGCTCTATATTGGCCTCTGCATTGGCCTCCTCTGCATTGGCCTTCTCTGCAATTTCCGGCATGCTGCTCGCCTTCTCTGCTTCGTTCTTCTCTCCATTCTCCACCACTTCCGTCTCCATGATATCGACATCCTTCTCCATCACATCAATTTCCTTCTCCGCAACGTCCGCCTGACCATTTGGCTTTTCCTGAGCCTCTTTCTCCGCGGTTTCTTTCTCGTCCTTCTCTCTCAGCTCCCTCTCTTTCTCTTCCCTTTCCTCCCTTTCCTTCTCCAGCCTCTCCCGCTCCAGGCGCACCTTCTCCTTCTCTGCATGCTTGACCTCATATTCACCACGAAGCTCAGCCAGCCAGTTCTCCGCTTCCGCGACAGGCTCGAATTCAGGGGCAAGAGCCGCATTTGCCAAATCAAAGATCTGAATGCCCAAGGCCACTGCATCCCATCTCAACGGGGGACCCTTGGGACCATCGGGTCGAGCCGACGTCGAACGCGGAGGCCGGCGGAACCGCCGCTCGGATTCGATCGACTCCATGGCCTTGATGGTCGGCTTGCGCAGTCTAGTGGAAATGCGGTTGCCAGCTGACGTCGCCGTGGTCAGGCTTCCTGTGGGCGAGCCGGGCGTCTCAGTGGTCCCATCGAGGCCAAAGTTGTTGCGGTACATGTCTGTGTCATATTCGAAGTTGAAGCTATCGCCGTAAGGAGTCGCGCCGGGTGTGTTGTTCTCGTCGAGAATCGGAGTCCCGAAATCCCGCAGGATCTTGTCGTCAGAGGCTGGGGTGGTGGATTCGATGCTCTCCGCGATTTCCCGGCCAAACGGTAGCGCAGGGGTGAGTGACTCTGCGCCCGAGGAGAGGTCGCTGGCTTTGGCGCTGTTGCTGTTCAGATAGTTGGGGGTTTGGCTACGAGTTTCGGGCTCAATCAGCGAGCGACGACTGCTGCGCTGGGGTCGAGTGCTCCCCTTCTTGGAGGCACGGGAAGGGACGGACTTGGCGTTGCCCATGTTGGATGATGTGGTTGGAGTTGATATCTGTTCGATCGGAGTGGATTGGGTATGTTCAATGGCTGGGTTCAAGCGACTGGGGTTGGTAGTACCAGCAGCTTTGCGGTCCGTACGGCGCGCTCTGCTGGTGGAGACGAGAGGGGTAGACGGGCGAGATGATGCAATAGGTGTTTGAGGTTTGGATGAATTCTTGTCCTGCGTACTGGAGTGCTTGGTAGCAGTTTCCACAGGTGCAGACTCAGTCTTGATCTCCGCAGGAGTTTTCGCGACGTCGGAGCTTGGGGTCTCAGCGCTCTTGGGATTACGATCCTTGCGAGTACTGACAGGAGTAGAAGTGACTCGGGGTGTAGAAGCCGACGTGGACAAGGCACGCGGGGTAGAAGAAGCAGAGGAAGTAACACGAGGGGAGGTAGAAGTAGGGAGAGTAGTGGTCGCCAAAGAATGCCGCTTCGGTTGAGTCTTTTTCAGCAGAAAGTGATGCAACGTTGATTGCGACTGTTCTGGACGCGGTTTGGTCTGAGGAACAGCCGGTTCACTGGGAGATCCGGTGTTGGAAGTCAGCTCACCGTTGGAAGTCACGGCTTTTCGATTTCGGTCCCTCCTCTTGGAGACACTGTCAGTGGCTTGAGATGAGACCACGGGTCCCTTAGAAGTAGACGTATTAGGAGTCTCCGTGGATTCCTTTCCTTTGGGAGTCTGCGTAGTTTGATTCACAGATCGTTGCGTTTTGCGTCGTTTGGCCGACGGGAAAGATTCTTCAAATGAGGTAGTGACAGGAGTTGGAGGTAAAGAGTAAGATGATTGAGAGTGATTTGAGGCGTGAGATTCAGGTTCACGGGTTGTTTTACGTGACGCACGAGATGAGCTTCGTCGAGTCTCACGCTGGAAGATGGGTAAGCACGGGTTTGAGGATGGGGAAAAGGTAGAGAGTAAATGGATCAACATACAGGAGTTGTTGGGTCGAGAGAGAACGCGGCGGGGGAACCGAGTTCCCTGGCCAGTGAAGCCCTACCCACCACTGGTGTGTTATTAGCATCGCATTCAGTGAATAAACCACCCCCCCGCCTCCAAAGTCACATGTTCCTCTCCAAAGTGTTCTGGAGTGAATGAACTGTTGCCTAGCCAAACTGGACGCTCTTGTATTCTTCTTACTTTTGACTGTGCTTGGTTCACCAACTTCCCCAACTCTTTCGTCACTTGTGTTCAGGTATCGTGCCCCGGTTCAGCCCTAGTATCGCAGCACTGCTTTCTTTCACCGGTTCGGAGTGCAACGGAGCTGATAGACAATGAGTTATTATTGCTTGATGGTGGGTTTTCGCTACAGTTGTTGTAGTCTCGCAGTGAAGGCGACGGTCGGACTGGGCTTGGACTTTGCCTGCAAGGTTGGGCGGTGGTTGTCAGTGAAATGCGAAACCAGACAGGACCGAGGATTGCGGTAAACCCGGAGCAAGAAAGCAGGAAGCGGCAACCTCCTGGGAAAGCTGACACGCACACTCAAAACGACACCCGCCTGGTTTAACCCAACACCGCAGAGAGATCCCTACTTATAGTGTATTCACTTCGCATGCAAGTGATTTCGCTCAGCGGCGGCGGTTTGCGATCGAGAAACCCGCGTGACCCGATCGGTTGGGGCGGAGAGGCGAGGGAAACCCCGGAACGTTCAAGGCGCACTGCAAGCGCAGGGAGGTTCGTCGCGGAACTAAAGGAGAGGGGTCAAAGACATGGCGCACAGGTAAAGAAACGACTTTCCAGTCGATCGGAAGCCTTGCGACCGCGCAACTAGTGGCAGGATAAAGCCTAGTCGAGAAGTTTGGGGGATGGAGGGAGCGGAGAGGAAAGAATTATGTTTGGCAAAGGCAAGGCAAGGCAAGCAAGCAGAGCAAGCAAGCAAGCAAGCAAGCAAAGCCAGGGCCGAAACCTCCCATCGAGACGGCCGGGAAATTAGGGCTTGCGCAGCCAAAGGCAGGCGGGCGGTGAAAGCCGGTGGTCACTGGACCGCTGCTTGCCCCAATGCACGCGCGCCGGGCGCTTATCTTAGCGCCGAACCTGGCCGCGGGCTTGCGTGTCGCTCGCTCGGTCGGTCGGCCTTTTTCTGCCTTTCTGGCCAAGTAAGACTGTTTCCCCGTAGTTAACTATCATCTGGTCTCTCCGCCGACCGCATCAATTCCTCCACAGCCCAGCTTTCGTTTCCTGCGCTTTGCTTTCGGTCGTTGCGTTGCGTTTTATTCTTCTTCCCTCCCCCCCCCAATTCCCTCCTCAATCATACATCACAATGCAGCTGTGGCACTCTCTCCTTCAGCTGTCCGTGCTGGCTTCGACCGCCCTGCCGACCGCTGTAGCTGCTTCCGCGTGGGGATTCACTGATGCCACCGTGTCAGTTCACACCAAAGGCGCTGGCGTCGGCGCTGGATTCAAGGAAGCGTATGTACAATTATTGTCAAGGCGAAAACTACAGGAAAGGTTTCAAAATGCTAATCTACTTGTGCCATTGACAGAATTCCCGACAACAAAGCTCTCTCCAAGCCGGTCTCCCTCGGATCTGCCGACACCTTGAAGGTGACTTTGACAGCCCAGGAAGGCCGCTCCGCCAAACGCGCGCACCAGGTTTTCCTCTTTCTCGAGGACCCTGAGACCGGATTGGATATCTCCTACCCCTTCAGCGTGAAGGATAATGGCAAATCCAGAATTGAGCTGGTCAGTGCTTATCCCGCAACTCTGGACCGGATGAAACAAGGCTGACGTGCATGCTAGACCCAGAAGGACTTGCCCGTTCAATTCCTTTCCGTCTCCGAGCCCCTTGATGCGCGAGTCCTGATCGGATCCTTTGGCGAGGCCGACGCCTACAACGGAGCTGCATTCAAGCTGACGGTGGCCCGGAACCCCGACGAGCCTGTGCCCACCGTCGAGTCGTCGCGCTACGGAAAGCTTCCGGAGATCCATCACATCTTCAAGACCGATGCTCAGAGTCCTCCCTTGGTCATCACCTTGGTCTTCCTCGCTCTGGTGCTTGCTGCCCTTCCGGTTCTGGGCGGAGTGGTAAGTTGTTCTTCTCTGTTGCCGCATCGATGGTGGGCTAATTCTCCTCTGATACAGTGGCTGGTCCTCGGCGTCAACTTGAACCACCTCCCTACTGCTTTCAAGTCGGCACCCCTTCCCCACGCAGTCTTCCTCGGCTCCCTCTTTGCCATCCAGGGCATCTTCTTCTTGTACTATACCTCCTGGAACCTCTTTCAGATCCTTCCTGCTGTCGCGGTGGCTGGTACCGTCGCATTCGTCAGCGGCAGCCGTGCTCTCGGTGAGGTCCAGGGCAGACGGCTTGCCGGCCTGCGGTAAATTACTCAGTGGTGCAGGTCGAGAGTCTGGGTGTGGCATTATCGGTTGTGGGGTGTATCCGACGTCATCTAGCTCGTGGTCGGATGACTACTAGTTGTATCAGTGTAGAAGAAAGTGTACATTCCAGCTATCAAAATCCCGCAGGACAACACCAACCTCATAGCCGTTAGCAGTACCCCATATCTCAGTTCACATATAAAAACATCGGAGATGGCTGACGTCACCCGCGCGGCTAGTGTATAACCCCGATCGGGTTAGCCTGACAGATCGGATCCTCTGCAGAAGAGACGCAACGGCGGTTGATCCGCCGCAGTCTTCACAAGCTGAGGCTAACCACTGCAACGAATCTCACACTTGCTTCCCAACACCATGGGTGCATCAGCGTCGAAACCTGCGAAGTCCGCAGCGGCGGCAGCTTCACGGCGTCAATATCCCAAACAGCCCACGACATCCACTACCAGACCTCCCACCTCCACACCCGCATCAGCACCGCGAGCGCCACAACCACAACCGCAACCACAACCCAGGCTTCACGAGCAGCCGCAGCGCAGTCCTCGCCCCAACCCACACCCCAGCTCCTTGCGACCTGCAACATACCACCCGCAAAACCAAGAGCAAGCGTCCCTCGAGAAATCAAGCGGTACGCCTACCCCCATCCCTTGCCTTGCCTTCCCTTCATCCTAAACCTTCAACCCGCCTTTTCGCAAACAACCCCCTTCCCCGGAAGTCGCAAAGCTAACAGGCCGAACGCGAGATAGCAATCGACATCGACGGCCGCGACCCGGACTTCGCCGCCTCCCTCCGCAGCATCGGCCCCGTCACCCCGAACCCAACCTTCTCTCCCTCGAGCACCTTCAACCCCGCGCAGCGATCCTTCGGGGGGCCAGGCGCCCCGACGGCCGCCTTCGCGCCCGCTCCCAATCCAGCCCTGTTGACCGTCACGGCGCGGCAACGGCTCACCAAGGCGGCGGAGGAAGAAGTGGACAACCTGGGAAGGTCGGACTTTGTCGGACGAGAGTATCTGGATGCGTTGACGATCCGGCAGGTGTTGGCCATGCGGGATCGGCAGGGCCTTCCCGCGAGGGAGATCGAGCGGGTGTTGCGGTTGAAGAGTGGGGTGGTGGAGCGGTTGGGGGCCAGGGGGGTGGTGGGGGATCTTGGTTAAGATAAAAGCCAGGATGGGTTTGGTTGCTGTCTTGTCAGGCGGTTGTGGTTTGTCTTCTGAGGTTCTTTTCCTTAGCGTGGACTGTGCTTGATGGGGCTACGGTAGAGGTGTACTGGTTTGGGGACCTGAACTGTAAGATAAAAATCTAATGCTTTTCTATCATCCAGGGTGGTAGATGTGCATTACCATGGCTCTATTAGTCGGGTGTGCGAAAAGCACTGACAACATCAATTGTACAATACTTTTTTCTATATGAAGACACTCCGGGTGGTGCTTTGGGGGAATATCATGTACCGTGATTTGAGAGTGCGGTGAGACAAAAGTCACCTGCCGACTGAGACATCATCGCCTGTCCTCCTCATCAGCAGCAACTTCCACCTCAACCTGTTCATCACCTTACTCACTCTCCACTCGTCAGACAAGACACTATTTATTCTTCTCCAGTTATCAGAAACATCTAAAGCATGAGCAGCAAGAGTCTTAGTCTTCAACATGAGCCCCGGGTATCAAGTCTATTATCTATATAGTCCTTCTCCCTTCAAGCTACCTTACAGTATACTGATCTCTTCCTCCATCTTCCAAACACACCACAAACTCACAATATCATATATATCAACCATATTTACAGATGAGAATGAACAACTCACCAAGGACGGACCCCGCCCGACCCCTGCTGACAAGCATGCTAAAGCAAAACCTCCCCACCCACCATCGTTCCCCCCGTCAACGGCCTCGCAATGATCCCGGCCTCCAGCAGATCCTGCGCCAGTCGCACGAGCAACCCATCACAGCCCTTGGCGGCGATCACATCCACGGTGACGGGGAACTTCTCGTCGTGGTTGGTGATGCTGCTGTACGCGGCGACCTCGCCCACGGGGAGGACAAAATCCGGCACCTCGGCCATGTTGGAGATGCGACTATTGCCCCATCCCAGCGGGGCACCGGGCAGCGAGCGGTAGAGGTTCCGCGCGGCCCCCGCCTCGGGCCCCGCCGACCCCACGTACACCATCAGCGACGAGGAGCATTGCTCCGGGTCGGCCACGCGCTGGAGGTAGTTCGACGCCATCCAGTCCATGAAGATGGTCTTGTTGGTGATGGCCTCGTCGAGGGCGGAGGCCGGGTACGCTTCGGACCAGTTCCACCGCGAGACGGGGACGGGGTCGACGAAGGGGAGGCGGCCGGAGTGTTTTGCTTTGGAGGTGTTAGTGGTGGTTTGAGAATGGATTGGTACGGTTTTTATTGGGCATGGGTGCTTACCTGCATAGTCGGCGTAGAAGGGATCCCGGACCAGCGAGATCTGCTGCTTGCTGATCAACATGGCGTAGGTGAGGTTCAGCAACGTCGGGAGGGTGACGTCGGAGGGGGCTTCGGCCGGTGGGTTGGCCGTCCAGTCTGCGGTCAGGTTCAATGGCGTGGTGGTCGTGTTCAGGAAGGCGGCCAGCTTCTGCTGGAAGTCCAGCAGCATCGCGTCGCTGGCGGAGTCGTTGGTCGTCGGGAAGCTCAGCGTGTACAGCGTGTTGGGGTACTTGACGGCCTTTCCGCTGAAGGAGGAGTAGTTGGTGCTGTACAGCGCCTGGTTGGCCGTGTCCCAGAGGTACGGGTCACGCGTGAGGAAGCCCGCCGTGTCGAGGACGGGGGATAGAGACATGACATTGTCGAGCGCTACGAGGCCGTGCGACGGCCGCGAGCCAAATACTCCCTGGACTTCGGCTGGTCCGCGGATGGAGCCGCCCGTGTCGCTGCCCAGGGCCAGATCCAGCCAGTCGTACGAGGCGATCGAGGCCCCGGCCCCGGATGAAGAGGACGACGGGTCCTGATAGCCGTCCCCGCGAGGGTTGAAGGGCGCGTGGAAGTCCACCCAGTCGGCCGTGGCGGTCTCTCCGTTGGCGAACTGCGAGGGCTTCTGCAGGCCGACGATGATTCCTCCGGCCTCGATGATCCGCGAGACGGCCGTGCCCGTGACGTTGTTCTCGCCGTACAGATTGTACCATGCCCGGTTGCCGTTGCTCTGTCGGACGCCTGCGAGGCTATAGATGTCTTTGATGCCTACCCGGACGCCGGCCAGTGGTTTGTCTTCGGTCGGGGTGTAGTAGAGCCGAGACGGCACACCCACTGTGACTGATGCTACGCCCGCGACCTGGGCCGACAGAGGCTGGAATGTGCCATCGGGCTTCTGCAGAAGAGGCTGGTTGAAGGCTCCGGCAAAGTCGCTGTATAGACGGTACACAGGGTACAGCTTGCCGGTGGTCTGCTCGATGAAGTACGGACCTGATGCAACCGATCTGGATTCGAGGGGAACCACAACACTCGTTTGGCCTTCTTTCAGCGAGGTGATGTTGGCAGAACTGTGCCGGCTACTACGGACAAACACGGCGTCGAGGAATGCGTCCGTGAACACGTCATCCTTGGTCGACCATGTGGAAAAGAGTGAGGATAGCGAGGACAGTTCGGTCGTGTCCTCCTGCACGACAGTCACCGGGGCAAACCCATTGACGCTTGGGACATTGGACAACAGAGCAGATGAAACGGTCACATTCCCAGCGGCATATGGGGAAATGAAGTAATCAATGTCTTGAAGCGTGACAGACATGCCGGTGGATACCAACCGCGCTGCCACAGAGCCGATCAATCCCATCAGGCATGGCGCAGACAGGCCTAATGCAGATCGCGGGAAACGAGCCATTGAGGAAAGGAAAAGCCGGTTCAACCGGTGGAATACAGATTAGAAGAAGGTATGTCCAGCTAGCTACTCATGATTAAGGTCTCAGCTCCCTATTTATAATGCTCCTCCCCTCCATCGCAAAAGTTTGCTGCGCCAAGTCAATAGAACGCAGCCGAGGATGGAGGTGTCTATGCCATGGTGCATTTACCCCACCGAAATCGGTGTCTGTTTTCGTACCTCCACTCTGCTGGGCCGACCATCGACCTCATTGGCGACCCATTGAGGATGCGATAAGTGTTTGGGTCCATTACACAGACTGCCAGGTACGTTGCAAGCAGCAACATCTCAATCTTATCAGTTGATGTGTTGCGATGCGGATAAGATGATAAGATGAAGCTTGATGATTGGGCGGGCGGTCGGGTGCAACCGAACTGCGCCCTTCGGTTAGAAACAGAAGAGTATGGGGTGGAGCTGCCATCGGCCCGATATCTGCAGCCACTGTTTATCAGGAGAGAGAGGGCTACATACACCTCTACACGCGAATTCCCTCACTCGTCCTCTGACCATTCCTCTTCCTCCCACTCCCACAACGCAGCCGACTCATCGTCGGGTTCATCAACGTCCTCGGCGTGCGGGATCAACTCGTCAATGCCCCTGATCTCTCGCAGCTTGGAACCTTCGCTCTCTTTCAAGGACAGTAAGCCATCGATATGCTCGTCGTGATCCTTGCGAAGACCTCTTTCGTAGCCCCGGATAAGCAGATACTCCAGATTAGGCGGCAGGTGATCGGCCAGCTTGAAGTCTGACGATCTGGCTGAGTCAACCCCTCTAGCCATGTATAGCAGAGTCTTGAGTCCCAGGCTCACATGGGTCAGGGAAGTGAAATTCCGCAACGAGCCCTTCTGGTCCCACAGCTCGTCCGGCGGCGCACCCGTCCAGCTATGATGCGCCTCTGACCGTCCGCCGTATGTATCAAAATCCGGCTCCGTGTCCTCATCGTCATCATTCCAGAACTCACTTATGTTGGCCTCGAAATCCACATCAAGAACCTCTAATGTCTCCCTGTGCAAGAGAAGCGTCTGGAGGAAAGTCTTGGGGTTCTGCATCGAGCTGCTTCCGTCCGAGGAGGCCCTTCCTCCCAGGGAAAACTGAAGCTCCCTGAGACTTTTGCACGCACAGATCACCGACGCGAGATACATCGTGTCGACGGCCGAATGGTTGATGCGGATCCGGCTGATGTTGGACGAATTCGGCTCGAGCCCGGGCTTGCCATTCTCGTCCGTGCACAGGGCATCAGTGCCGACGGTCTCGATGGCCGGAAGCCGGTCGACGAGGGCGAACATCCCGAGGAAGTCCATGCTCGTGTAGAAGCGCTCGTCGTCCATCCACCCGCGGCCCGCATTGATGAAGTAGACGTGGCGCAGCCGGCGCAGGAATGGCGTCGCATCCCTCTCGCCGTTCGCCCGGCGCAGGATGTAGTCCAGCGGAAACGCCACGCGGTTCTGGTTCGCGAACCGCCCTTCCGTGTGATAGAACCCCGTGTAATTGAAGAAGGGCTGCACGAGCGCCATGGACTCCAGGTCCGGGGCCACCGAGACGAGCAGCGCCGCCACCGCCTGAACCGCAAAGATCCCGTGCATACCTCGATACCTGGACCCATCGTCAGCCCCACCTTATTCTTGCTTGCTTGCGGAGAAGACCAGGAAACTCACGTATAATTCCACTTCCCGTTCGCCCGCTGCTCGGACGACTGCATCAGCATGTTCATGACCTGCGCCGCCAGTTTCGTTCTGTGTTCGTCTGCATTGCTCTCGTCCACCCCAATTGCCCGCCGCACCGCCGCCCACAGCAGCCCCATCATCCCGGTTTCCTGCTGCAGCTCCGCCTCCCGCTCCCCTAGCTGCTCCTCGTACGGCACGTGCGCCTCCACCGCCCCCTGGTACTCAATGTGGCGCACGTACCGGCCCAGACTCGGCCGCCGGAGGATCGCCAGTAGGAGATCGAACGCGCGGTCGAGGTTCTTGCCCGGCTGCACGCGGACGCGCCGGAACTTCTTGCGGGTGGGGAGGTCGCAGAGGCGGTGGAAGGTGCGGCAGGTTAGAGCGAGGGCGCGGCAGTCATGGTGGAGGTGGGAGAGGATGTGCAGGTGGATCTCGTTGGGGAGGTGGAGGAGGGAGGGCATTCTGGCCTTCCAATGGAAGATTGTAGTTGGATGGTAGATGGATCACGGCGTGGAAAATCTAGAGACTGCTACGTATGGAGAGATGCGGGCTCCATATATGTAGAGGATTGTGATAGCTAGTGTACCGAGGGAGTAAGTCTAGAGTCTATTAACTTCCCAGGCAGCGCAGTGTTGCCTGGTTCGGTTGGGGGGTGTTGTCTTTGCCAAGACGATAGCAAGAAGTGGAGAAAATCTAGCGGGATCTGGACCGCGAAGCGTGGGTGGGATTGGTGGGTTCCTGATATGATTCAATTGAATCCACAAAGTTGAGCTGCTTCAGACCCTGGGTCGTGAACAAATAGTCAAAATTTAGCCAAGTATCAAAAGTCTCTGAAGGATCCGGTTATCCTTCTGCGCATCTATGTTAGTCTGCTTACTAAAGCTACATCTGACGAAGCAGATAGAGCTGTATTATTCAAATCATACTCCCCGCATTAACCAATCTCCCCAAATCCCCAGGGAAAGTCAAAGTACATCAGAATTCAAGCTGCAGGTTTAGGGTTGTGAGTGCAGCATGGTGCATTACTGGTGGCATTCATGTTGAGCGAAAATATTGTGCAGGTCATTGCTATGCAGCACATGTTCGGCACGTCTGAGTGTCTCCCTTGATGCTCAATTATCCTCAGACCTTTAGAGACGAAGGACAGCTGTCATACGGGGGTGGCTTACATACTTAGCGACGTAATCGAACACTGTCTATTATCATGAAAATTCGAAGTTGAGTCTCACAGCATTTTGGCCATAGTTCGCAGTACGCAAGCGGAGCAGCCGAAGGTCAACCCTGCTGCTACTGCTGCTGCTGCTGCTGCTCCAATCCAGAACGTAGTTCATCGCATGTAGATGCCTGCTCTGCACATTCGAATTACACCCCACCCCCAATTCAAGACGCAGCAAGACACTCATATTTCCCGCAGCAGGTACCCCGAGCCACGGGGGAAGGGGGGGAAAATAAAAAAGGAATCTCCCCGACTGGGAGTCGAACCCAGGTCTCCCGCGCTTGTTCTCGGGCTGAGATTGACAAGCGGAAATCATGACCGTTAGACCATCGAGGATTGTTGATGTCATTTGCTCCTCCTTTTGTTCCTAGTGAGTGATTATGACAACGGATTAGACAGCTCCTTGCATCCACTGATCCGTTGAATATGATCAACTTTTTACTGGGGTTGGAGGGTATCCCAGCATCTGGATCTTCCTGGCATGGTAGCTCCCGTCTGGGGCTTTTCCGAGAGTAAGAGTCCGCGCATTTATGCTTATTGCCAGAAGTTTCGTGGATGATTTGATGTAGACTCGGGTTCGAGGCGAAGGCTGCACAACTACTGGTGATTCGCAGGCCCGCCCTCTTCTATACCGGTACAGTACATTGTATATTGTACCTACAACACCCTGTGAATCTACGACTGGGTAATCATGGGGTGATAACCTTGATTGATTCCCACCGCAGACTCGATCGCATCACCTGAGCCCTAACGATCACACACACTGGAAATCAAGTTACTACTTACCATACGCACCCGACCAGAGAGCTATACCTGATGTCCGGGGTCCCATATCAACAACACAAAAAGGATTCAAGTTGGATTGCAAGACCGACCCCAACCAGCCACAGCCGCATGCTAGTGTCCTTCCTCGCTCCACGGATTTCCACCTAGTCGGTCAGACCCGCAGGTGATCCCCACGAGCCAGCACGCGTAGACCGAAAGATATATAGATACCACATCCACGTGAGGACCTTGTTGTATGTACAGCAGCGTGCATAATGGAAGGAGTTGGACATACCACCCACCACCAATCCGACTCCTTTCCACTAACGCATATGCTCGGAACATTCGATCTGGGGTTGATGCATTCGTGCATACACAGGGCTAGACAATAACCCCCCATCGGGTAAATCCGTGTCTGGGAAGTGGTCGAAGCCACGAACACGAACGAGGGTGGCTTTAACCGGAGAGAACACTTCTAGTATCTGTGGGTGACGCTGGGTACAGTGCTAACAGTATATACTCGAATGGGCTTAGCGGGCAGTGTTGCGCCGGTATTCACCGATTGAGATCCCCTTGGTGTCTGGTCACACTGCACTGAACCAACTGACTAGCTCGCATTCTACTATATTTCGAATAACCCAACTGACCACTGTGTTCTCCAGAATCGAACACATCCTGGAAGGGTCGGCCTACACTAGGTACTTATAGACTATATTAAATATCTTACCGGTTATAGGTGATCCTCCGTGACGTCGATGATACGGGGCTGATGTCATCCTCCCTGACTGGAGTATGCTCAAAATCCAACCCGTGAGGAGGGATAACGGGGTAGGGGGCAAAAGTGATGTGTAGGCTGAGTGCGGGTGCGGGGCACAGAGTTTATTTCCCCAGATGGAAGGGGAACCACTCTTCTCCCATCTGGTTTGCAGTGGTTGGCTTGGCCTGTTATCTACCAGGTCGGGTACTAGAGAATCTGGCAGATGATGTGCCAATGGATAAGGTGGGTGGGTCATGTGCACCGGCATCCAGGCTGACATGCCAGATCGGACGCTAAGTGGGTGGGTTGATCTACAGTACAAGTAGTAGGTAGTAAGCATGGTCCTCTAGAAAGGGATAACCCAAGAGCCAAGAGCTCAATTGCGAACACGATACATGAATAATCCCCAGATCAAAATGATCAGCCTTCATTAGATTATGGTCAGACCACTGTGTACATATGTAGTCATACTAGATACATCCCTGCAATGATCTAAAGTTGAATAACCCAGACACCAGTGACGCTGAACAGGAAAATGAGAGATTTTTAGTTTCCCCCCTTTTAGATGTTGTGCGTCAATGTAAACAATTATCCCCATCAATCAACGCTTCGCTCTTACAGATGGACGCCATGCGACACAGCAACACGAAACACATAGAAAACAGGCAACAAGAACAGACATCTACCACGCAGCGTGACCGCCGTCGATGCGCAGATCGCTGCCCGTCATGAAGCTGCTGGCGTCGCTGAGGAGGAAGACCGCCGCGCCCCGGTATTCGTTGGGCGTGGACAGTCGGCCCAGCATGTTGTGCTTCGGCCACTCCTCACGACGCTCGGGGAACTGCACAAACAGCTGCTCCACCATCGCCGTCACGATATATCCCGGGGAAATCGTGTTGACCCGGATGTTGTACTGCCCCCACTCCATGGCGAGGTTGCGACCCAGCTGGATCACAGCCGCCTTGCTGGCATTGTACGCGGGACAGATGAGACCCTTTCCAGAACAGTCAGCGCGGGAACGTACGTGATGTCAAGATGACAAGGGGGGGAGACTGGGTGGCGCGGTCTTCCCCACCCCACAGAAGAAAAAAAGCGGGGAAACTGGGAGAAGTCACGTCGAACAGGCACATACCCGATTGGCGATTGTACCACTCATACTGGCAATCAGTGCAATGCTGCCGCCGTTCCCAAAGCGAATCATCTGCTTCGCGACGGCCTGCGCGGTCATGAACACCCCTGTAACGTTCACCTCGAACATCCGGTTCGAGTCCTCGGCCGTGTACTCCAATGCAGAGGTCTCCTGCTGGATTCCCGCGGCGGCGACCAGTCCATCCATCCGGCACTCCGTGTTGGCGATAGCCTCGATGGCGGTGTTTAGCAGCTCCGTGTCGCGCACGTCAATGCGACGGTAGTGTAACTCTGTTCCCAGTTCCTCTTGCGCGCGTTTCTGGATGATGGCGAACTCGGGGGACTGGAGGGTCTCAGGTCAGATTGACAGCTGGTTATTTTCGTAGTGCAAACTCACGGGTTCCTCAAGACGGTCAAGCGCATACACCTTGGCCCCGGCTTCGAGCAGAGCTTCGGCCTGCGTCAACCCCAATCCGCGGGCGGCTCCGGAGACACAGACCACCTTCCCAGCCAGGCTGAACTCGGGCATCCGCGATTTGGAGCCGAGAGCTGGGCCATCTTGCACCGGGACAGGGACCGGAGCGGGAGCGACGTCGGTGGTCTCAAGGGACAGGGACATTGTGTAGTGTACGTGAACTGTCTGGGAGAGGGAGAGACAGGAATAACTTTGTAGAGGCGTCGTAGTTTGCTGAAAGCTCGGGTGATTCACGCAGACGACAAGGTTGATGGGTTGGGGACTGGAAGGTGATGGGCGCCGAAGCTTCTTAAATAATTCACACAATGACTCCAGGAGTTGCCTCAATAGGAAAGCAGGACAATACCCGGGGCCTAGTAGTCCTGGCAATGGGGGAGGGGGAAGGAAGTCATGAGGACAAAGCAGAATCCGGAGAAATAGTAATGGCAGCGAGGGGAGCTGTGGCCCGCGGTCCAGACCCGGGGAATGCAATGCGTGATCGGATTTGGGCCCAGTCCAGCAGTCGTGGCAAGTGTGAAGCATGGCAGCCATTTCCGATCTGTGAGATGAAGCACTACCGTACACGAGACAGAGGTACCATTCCAGGTTCCATTCTACAGGAACTATAATTCACATAGTAACTTAGTACGAACAGGGGGCCGCAGGATACAAGACTGACGGGTTGATTGATAAGAACAGCTAGTCAATGCCCACATGGATGGTGTTGAATCATGATGAAGTAACGAACTTGCCGCCAGACTCTTGTTTCTTCTCCCGGAGGTGGCCATACTCTCCGCGTAGCCTCCGCCAAGCCAAAGTCACCATCCCAAAAAGCAGCAGCTCAACCGGATAGGAATGACGACTTTGGTACAATATCCATAAAATAGTCCCAGTTACCCCAAGAGCAAGTCCCAGACAAAGTGTATAAAGTACGGAGTAGAGCTGTACAACACAGTGGATATCTCGGGTTACCGAATCCGGAAACCCGGGGGAGGAGGCAAGGCCGGGCTATACGGAAACGAAGCACCCTTGGAATGGTCACGAGGGTAGGTAGGTAAGTACTGGGGCTGGGCGGTTCTGGAAGCTCGAATTCAATCAGTTTCGAGGGTTCTGTCGGCGTCTGGCATGGCATGGCTATTTCGGGCGAATATCTTCCTGCCAGCTGGTCACGGGGTTCCTTCTTCAGATCCCTTCCAGCCAATTATTCCTGTATTTCACCCCTGTAAAGTTGATTTTGCCTGTAGTATGAGTAGGTGTTCACATTCCACGGCAGCCAAGCCCTTATTGACATACACATGAGACCCTGTACTGTACCTGGGACCTGGGGACTGGACCTGGATTGTTTGGCTGCAGCGGACTGTAGCCCAATAGCGGCTCGGTGTGCCTGGACTAATTGATATAAATAACGAAGTGGTGTACTATACCATCCACTCCAGAATATTCGAATGAACCACTCATCCAAATCCACAGTGTACACAGTATATATCTCACACCCCCAAAAACAAAACAGGAAGAAGATATTGCGTAGATCCGAATCGGCCAGCCGAATAAAGCGGAACCCCCAACCATGGGGCGTGCGCAGGTGACCCAGCCCGGGGACCCGCTTTCCCCAGACTATTTAACAGAACGCATAACGCGGCGGGGAGGGGAGGGGTTGGAATTGGATGAGCTTTGTGCTTTCAAATCATCAATAAAAATAAGCTATCATACTTGTTAACTAACTTACTACTCAGCTACCGGTACATTCCTCTTTTTCCCATCTGGGGAACCCGGGCCCAGCATAATCCCCCCTCGGAACCTTCGGACCCAATCTTGATTCATCAATTGCAGTACTGTAGCAATATTCTCACCTTCCTTCGCTGGCTCCAATTCCCGGACTGTCGCCCCCGATACCGTACATACGTACCTGATCCCGTGAACAGGAAAAAAATTATTCTCACCGTTGGAGTTTGCGAAATCCTCCCCAGGTTCTGGACAAGCCCGCCGAGAATAGCAACGGGTGGTCCGTGCCCTGCAGCCGGCGAAGACCCCCCCCCCCTTGGCCAGATGTACGGTACGGGCAGTACGTGTGACCAGGAAGGAGATTACTCACTCAATTCTGAGGTGCAGGAAAGAAGCGAGATCTCGTCTTTCCATCCCGGGGATCCATTTAGAAGCTCCTCTACCATCTCCCTATCGTACAGTGCGAGAAGGTGACGTGTTTCCCACCAGGACTGCCAACGCACAATAGCAATGTCAATGCAGGTGTATTGTCTGGTGCTATAATAGCGCAACGGAAGGGACAGCAGGAACTGACGCGGATACCTCGCCTTAAGGATGCGACTCTTTCTTTCCAGGGACTGGAGGTAAGTAAAGACTCGAAGTAAAATCTATCCCAATTCATTATATGAGGTGTATGAAATGTACAGGACATTATAACATGATTCGTATCGACATGACTCTACAAGAACATGAATGTGGCCGTGAACATCGCCGCGACCAAGGCCAGCAGGCTCTGCGCACTAGCGGCCCCCCTCGTCGAGAGTCCGCTAGCTGCATTCTCTTCGGTGCCGTTCGCGGACCCATTGATCGAGGTGGGGTCATCCCCAAGCCCAAAGGGCAGTCCCTGGTAGCTGAAGGTCAGGTTCTGCGCAATGGACTGGTTGTAGCATTGGCCATTCGCGACATCCAGGTTGGTGAGGTCGTTCGGATGCAGGAAGAACATGTACTGCGATTGGTTCAGGTTCTTGAACCCGGACGTGTCGTACGGGAACTTGTCGCCCGAGTCGGTGGCGGAGGTGTTGCGGAGCCAGATACATTGAACTTGTCCGGGGAAATCGGTCACCATCTCGGGGTAGTCCCGCATGACATCGCTATTGCTGGTATCCGCGATCAGGATGAACTTGCGCTCGGGGAAGGTTTCGAAGACCTTCTTCAGCAGGAACTTGCGGATCGACAGGGTGGCCGAGACGTCGCTGAAATTAAGGGGACGTGTGTCGAAGGAGCCGCCAGGGTAATGGGTGTAGATGAACTGCATGTAGTTTCTGGTCACTTGCTCGGGGGTGGTAGTCTGTGGCAATTAGTATCCAAGACGTGCAGATAATAAATACCGAACTTACCAGGTAGTGGAAGTGCATGTCCGGGATGTTAATGGACCAGTTGCGGTAAAGGTCGGGCATGTTCTCCCACGGCGTGAAAGGACGCGCGAACGAGTTGAGCAAGCCTTGTTCCGGTTCATAGATCTTGGTGACCCGGAGGATGTCGTCAATGTCAGACACGATGGTAAGACCCTTGGGTGGCACCAGGTATGCGGTACTGTTTCCGATCGATGCGCCCTTCACGTAAGTGTTGAGTCTCTGGATTGCCGAGGTTTCATTCCCCGCGGTCAGGCCGTTGCTGTCAATCGGCACGAAGACATCGAAATCGCCTTCTACAGTTGTGTTGTACGGAAGAGTCAAGTCTTGCGTACCGCCGGTGGTGTTGGATGCGCCGCCGCCCCCGGGCTCTCCGCTGGCTCCCTGACTCGGTGCCGGCTCGAGATGGATGGTGTTCACGGCAACGTGCGGCTGCTGAACCACCAGAATCTCGGCTGTCAAATTGCGTGCTTGGGCCTGCTGGGACTCCGGCAGATCCTCAATACTTGTGTTCCCGAGAAAGACATTAGCCAGCTTGTTCAGGTCGGAGACGGAGGTGTTTGGCTGCTTGTAAACGTTCCCGTGGAAGCGGACGTTCCAGCCGGAGCTGGTCCAATTGGCGTAGGGGTCGATGTTCAAGACATTGGTGGGAAGTGCTGCCAATTGAGCACTGTTCAGGCCGAGAGAGCTCACGACAGCATCTCCCGTGGGGAACCCCTGGAAGAAGTTGGGCACCCCTGACGCAACCCACGAGGGAAGGTCCGACCCAAGCCCTGAGAGGACACTGTTGATGTCCGAATCAACATCACTCAAGATATTCCGACGTGCGACCGGTACGACTGGAGAAGGGTTGTACTCGACGGGTGAAGGGGTGATGACCGGGTCTGGCGGGGCGGCAGCGGCACTGTTGTCGTTGTTGTTGGTGTTGGGGAAAGCCGTTGGAGCGGGGATAGCGGAGGCAATTGAGAGAAGAGTGGCCTGCACAAGGGCCTGACGCGCAATGATCGACACCCTCATAGTTCCAAGCACCCAGTGTCGTTCAGCCGGAAATTCTTAAAGGCCTGAGATGGACAGGAAAGAGGAAACTGATCGAGGGGCGACAAGCTGGAGAATTAAAGGCGATCAACTCATGGATGGGGGAAAGAGTGACAGGTGACGTCACAGCATCGGGGATCGGGAGCTCCACCGCCACCGACCGGTTCATTGGATGGCTTGGCTCCACGCAGGTCCCTTTCAATGCAGGGTCCCTGGATTTTTCCCAACTGTCGCTTCGCTCACTGGCGTCATTTTCATTTACTTTCAGGTTGTTGGCACTCAATGTGAAATACTCATACGCCAGATGGTGCGGTGACACGTCGTTGCACGTGTCACTATCACTACGTCATAGGATTATGCTTACAGCGTTGACCAGCACATTACTGTCTAAAAGTCCAGGTTCTAACTTAAGTACCAATCCTTCAGTACTCTTATAATAGTAGCCAAAAATTTAAGGGTTTTGGTAATCTTCCGCTCGGGACTTGCAATAACACCAGTTCGTCAATAACATCAAGGGTTCCAGAAATCATCAGCAAGAAATCTGATATCTTACTGCCTCTTCATTATAAGGATAGTACATTACACATCTACTGTTCAAATACTCTCTATTTACGGGAGAGTAGGTCACATAGCCATATTAGCCGGCGAATGCGTACTATCATATGCATTCGACACCAACTCAGGGCATAGAGCGAGACTTCCTCCATATGAAAAGTACCTACTGTATGTACACTGGGTAGCAAAGCACAAATCATCTTCTTCGAATCTTCGAAGTCACTCAGTAAGCAATCCTCTCTCGTCCGACAACTCGCATTACCGTCTTAATCGTTAGGGCGGGCGCGCGTAGCGGATCACAAACGTTGGACGGAGTAGGCGGCATTGGCCCCGGCATCTAAATGGCCACTTCCTCGAAAAGAAGCGGCAGGAAAGTAATCAATTGTATTGACTAGATAGATACTGGCAGTCTGGAGTGGAACACTATACTACACTCACTGCCACTGGCACCTGTTCCAATTCGGGGATTTGTGGGTCTATCGAGGTCATGTAGGGCACGCGTGCGATGGAAAAAGGGCGTGCCAGGGCCCACTCCCGGCGGAATCACTGAAACTATAGACTCATCTTCCGTAGGGCGTGAAACACGCTATGCAATATCCATATAAATTACTGGTAGGTACTAGTTATATCCTAATCAGGTATTTTGCGCTGTCCGTAGAAGAAGGACTTCTCTTACAAGAACTACGGTCAAGCGACTGAGGCATCATCGCAGCCCTTTGTCAGACTGTCAGACGCCGTGATGCTCTCGCAGGTGATTGAGATTGCAGAGGCCAAATACCATCAGGGCAAGTGTGGCCTGTGAGGAAGGCTGTGGACTTTAGTGAAGTAAGATTTCACAAACACTCTCAGTATTCAACCTCATGCGCGTCCTGACATGTCCATCTACACAGCTCCGAAAGAATCACATTGTCCTAGCAGGCACCATCTTCGCCTTCAATGGCTCTCTGGGTGCTTCACTTCCCTCGGGAGCCTCGCCGACAATAGCACAGGTGGTATGAAGGTTGCAGCTGCCCGTCGATCAATTTCCTGGATGCGATATCTGCTCCTTCGACGAGGAAGCCCTCGCTGGGATCCCGCTGAGTGTGTTGTATCTGTCTACTACCTAATCTATTATAAGTTAAAACAAACTTTGAACTTCACAAGTGACCTCTACTTATTCGATATTCTCCCCCCTCTCAGCCACTACTCTTGCCCATTCATGCTCTACCCGCCCATACATCATATCCTCCAACCATCCCTTGAGCTTGCCCGTAATTTCCCCCGGTGTTCCATCCGGCCCAGTTGGGATATGGATGCCTTGTTGACGGTGGTGAATCAACGAGATAGGAGTAATGAACCACTAACAGAATGATCAGAATGCCCCATCCAGAGGTATAAACACAGAGCAAAAGACTTACCGCGGTACCAGCAGCAAACGACTCCAAGAGACGGTTCTCCGCCGCCGCCTCCAGAAGATCCCCGATGGTGAACTTCCGCTCCGAGACCTCCACCTCGCCCTTCAGTCGCTCTCTCACCAATTCCAGGCAACTGCGGCGGGTGACCCCATCCAGGATCAGCCGATCATCCAACGGGGCCGTGACAAGCTCCTTCTTCCCATCCTCCCGACGCTGCCAAACCACAAAGAAGTTACTCCCGCCGGCCTCCGTGCAGGACCCGTCCGGCCCATACAGCCACAGGATCTGATGGTATCCCTGCCGGAAGGCCTCCTGGGTCGCCAGCACGGCCGGCCCATAGTTGGCGCCCACTTTCGCATACCCGAACCCGCCGACCCAGGAGCGCACCGTGTCGTCCGGATTGGTGAGTAGGCGTTTCCCGCCGGCCGGGGTGTCCAGGCGAGCCATGTAGCCGACAATGATGTAGAGGAGGGCCTCCGTCGGCCGCGCGACGCCGAGCTGTGAGTCCGTCCCGATGATGGTCGGGCGCACGTACAGAAAGGATCCCGTGCGGTCTCGGGGAAGCCATTTGGTCCCGTCGACGGAGAGTAATGTATAGATGAGTTTCTCGAGCTCGTCGGGGTCGAATTCGGGAAGGGAGATGCGTTGGGCGGACATCAGCAGGCGGCGGGTGTTGCGGTCGGTGCGGAACATCCGCAGCATTCCGTCGTGGCCACGGTAGGCCTTGAGGCCCTCGAAGCATTCGTAGGCGTAGTGCAGGCACGAGGCGCTGGGTTCAAGGCTCAGAGGGCCGTAGGGCTTCAGTTCCGGCGCGGACCAGCCGCTCTCGGCGTTCCAGGATGCAGTGATCATGTGGTCGGTGCATATTGTCTTGCGGGTGCTGCTCAGGGTTTGGGCGTCTGGGACCTCGCGTGGAGCGGCTGTGAAGGTGTAGATCAGGCGCGAGGCGTCGAGCGGTTGAGAGGAACCCATGGCGGTGATGGTGATGGTGATGGTGATGGTGATGGTGATGGAGAAGGTTTTAAGCGGTGACTCGCAGCACAATGGCTCTTTCTGCTGCTCAGTCCCCTTTCAATGCATATATATACATGCTGGTCGTATCTCCACTGGCATTCATCTTCACTGTCCATTAGTTAGTTATCAGTATGTCTTGAGTAAGGCGTGTCTGCACGCCCTGGGGGTGACATTGAAGCGGCACGCCCTGTGGGTCATCGGTGGCACGCCCTGTGGGTCCAGCTTGGCGGCACGCCCTACACTACCGAACACTGGTTCTGTCCAAAGCATCTATGGATCTCTGAGTAGAGGGCAACTCAATCTTGTTTCTTGTACATGATCGTACACCGGCCAGAATAGGCGAGCTAGTACCACCACACATGCATTTGAGGCAAGAGGCTCAGACGCATTCAATAAGGAAAGATAACAATATTTGAGCCAGCTGGGTGAACGTTGCGGTAGCAAAATTCTCCAGGTAATGAAAGGCTCTCAAGACTCCTGAAACTATTGGGCTCACCTGGTTTGTTCCAACTATGCCATCTGCTTGTTAATCATGGTACCTCACGAGCAATGGCTACTCTCAAGGTAGCAAGCTTATTATGAGCTAGCCTGGAATGCAGGTGTACTCCTCCAGTAAACAGTTCAGTGGCATCTTTACCGATGGCATCCTCGAGTAACTGACTGCCTCCAGGGTGGTCAGGCATAAAGCTCGAAACATCATGGACCACCCCATCGATAGCAATCAGTGCCCGCCTCCCGTCTCTGGCTTGCACTATGTAGTCCTTCCATGAGAGACTTGGCAAGCCCTCCAATGGAACGCGCCAGTCCGAGGGCGACGCTTGGTTCGTCTGCGCCTGTCGCAGACGGCACTTGTCCACATCATGTGTAGAAAAACGTTTCAGGTCGTATGCAAGACCCATCTGCTCCCATAACCAGATCACCCACTTAGTTGGATCCCACTGCCACCGGTCCGCTCCATTGCGGTAGTCCGTGGGAAATTCATGGTGGTAATTGTGGTATCCTTCTCCAAGCGTGATGATAGCCGTGACCAGGTGATCGCGGGGAGAGTTCCTGTCATTAAATGGTTGATCCCCCATCCAGTGGGCTAGGGAGTTTACGCAGAACGTAGCCTGTTGAACTGCAAACATGCGGACGATACCGGCATTGACAAAGCCGCCTTTCCAATCGCCCCAGCCGAGGCCACAGACCGCGGTTGGGAACAAGAACACCATGGCCAGCAAGATGCCGCCGTAGTAGCGACGTTGCCACCGGACCACAAGGTCATTGTTAATATCAGACATGTCTATCCCGTGGTAGATCCTGGCGTCTCTCCTAAACAGGATCCATCCCATGTGGGAGTAAAGAAGACCCTTGTGGGCAGAGTATGGATCCTTGGCAGTGTCGGTGTATCGGTGATGCGTACGGTGACTGCGCACCCACCATTCGATCGGGCCCTGACCGGCACTGCTCCCTAATATGGCGAGGAATACTTTCAGTGGTGTGGTAGCACGGTAGGATGCATGGGCCCAGAGTCGATGATAACCTAGCATGTTTCACGCAGTCTCATTAATGGTGAATCAAGCAATGATGTGGAATGTGTGTTACCTACCGGCAGTGATGCTGAATCCCGAAAAATGGCCGAATACTACCGCAAAAATGAATGTCTTCGGGTGTAGAGGGATCCTCCGGACTTGGTACAGGCCATAGAGAGGAACGACCATTGTAAAAATGATTCCCCACCAGTCTAGACGTTGGTACCAGTTTCGTCTAGTCATCGGCTCTCTAGTGACATGTTCTTTCTGATTGTCATCAGGCAATGTGTTGATTTCTTCCATAATTCCTACTGCAATAATTGCGACAGAGGACAAATTCAAAAGTTGATGGTCATCGAGGAACTGGAAGAAATGCTTTCGATCATGCTCTGAGAGCTGTCACTCATCGTCCTCAAAATTGGCTGAAGCTCTGCAATAAAAACAATCTATCAGCTCCGAGGATTGATTACTGCCCAAAATCACCACCCTGTTCTGACCTGATGTGGCACAGCCGCTGGAGGAGTTATTTCACCGGACTTTGCTCTTGTTTGTACCGCCTCGACACAGCAAATGAGGGGGCTCTGTGGTATGCCAGCGACACCTATGGACATTGAATGTTCCGATTTGCTAGTATAAGCCATAGTTGACGATCGTTGGTTCATACCTAGTTTATCGCTCAAGTACGGTAGGACGAAATCGATGTCTATCCCGATGGAGCTCTTTAGAATTCAATGTCTATGTCCTTGAAACTGCCCTCGAGCTACCCAATGATAGGTGCGGAACAAGTCAGGGGAGATCTTCAATCTAATTTCGTGTTCAAGTGCTAGCCGAGCTTTAACAGTCCCTGTCTTCAAGAGAACGTACCATCTATCACCTTGGAAAGACCATCTTTTATGCGCCATGCCGGGTCTTGGGAGTATTGGCTTGCCATATGCAAGCTTTCGCCGTAGCGGGATCATAGTTGAGGGAATGAACTTATAAATATAGTAGAGAGCTGTAAGTTTCAAACTATGGCTCTGTTCCCAAGGCACTGTAGTAAAGAATGGGCAGTCAGCTGAAGCCTTGCCAAGGTATGAGATGGACATTCAGTTCAAAGTCCGGGGTCGGTTTCCGGTTCGGGCGGACTTCAACTCCCAACAACAATCCCTGATTCTCCCCCAGAATGCGATTGAGGCCTTGCCTTAATGACCCGACAGCAGTTCATAAGCTCTGCAAGGGTCCTGTCTTCCAAGCACAGAAGGTTGCTTCCGATACAGGATGAGCGATCCCATCATCAACAAGCTCCGACTTCGGTGCATGCGGTCTGCGCATCAAGTGGCTCTCAATCGTCACCCAGACCAGCACGCTCGCTCTTCGTTCACTGTTGAAAGTCTCTTGCACTGTCAGCTGCCATGCTGAAACCGCGATTCCTTCGACTTACACGACCACCCTTCACCTTATTCGAGTATTCCGATGCTTTTGGCTCAAGCCACTCCCTTCCTTTTCCCGAATCAGCACTCCGCTTCGGAAGATATCAGCTTTCTCCATCCTTGTACACATTCTCTACGGACCTGCGGACCTCAACAACAATAAGCGTCTTGTACATATCGGTCGTCATGTATTGCAATAAGATCAATGCGAGAGAACGGAGATCGTGGGCAATCAGTCGCACAAAGGTCTTCTCTAACTTAGTGATACTACACAATCTGATTCTGACGGCTTTCTCGGCCTGGACATTCGCCGCTATGCTGAAAACATTGTCTTCCGCATGGCCGGACACGCAAGATAAATTGCATATGAGCCGGGCGGCAGACATTGTCTGCCATGGGGGTCAGTTCCCGGGGCACGAATCATATGCACCGAGGTTGAAGTTGATCGTCTGGCTGTTCTATCTGTCAAAGCTATATGAGCCACTCGACACCGTGATCATTCTTGCTAAAGGGCGCCAGGCTTCAGCCCTGCACATATATCACCATGCTGGCGTCATCTTCTGGGGCTGCATGGGAGTACGATTTATCAATTCGGCCTCGATAATCGCCACACTATTCAACTCGGCTGTGCACACCGTGATGGTCAGTACTGTTACGTCGGATAATTATGCTATCCTGCCATATATGCTAATATGAAGACGCACAGTATACATACTACAGCATGACTGCGTTGCGCATCCTCGTTCACCACTCGACCAAAGCTTCATTGACCTTGCTTCAAATCATGCAATTCTTCGTCGGTAGCCTATTAGGCTTGTCGTCCGTCCTTGTGGAATATGATGTTCCCTTTTCTGGTCCTCCTTTTGAGCGACATGATCAATCGCCAAATACCCCTTTCAACATAACGCCACGGGGCTCCAAAGTACAGCAGTCTCGGGACATGAAGACAGTAAGATGCGTTAGAGATAGTAGTGAGGCTTATGCGTTGTGCCTTGGATGCGGGTTTGTTCTGTTCCTGATGCTATTGTTTTTGAAGTTTTACGTACAGTCTTATCTCCAGCACTGGCAACCCCATAAGAAGGCAGTGCTATGAGATTTGGAGTTCATGGGATAAAGATGAGTCGTGTAGTAGGGCGGAAGAAGAAAGTCCGGTTTTGAGTGCCAAGCATTGTTGTTAAGGCACTGGACATCATGGATCTTGAAATTAGCTGAGCAGGACAAATGAACGTGTTAATTGTCTTTGTTGCTAGTTGTGTGTGTGTTATGGGCTTGAACACTCAGAGTTGCAGTGCTTCCTTCTGCAGGAGGCCATGATTCTGGCCTGGTCAAGGCTCAGCCCCCACTGTATTGTATGACTTCCTTCGCTGCCTGCTCACGAGGCTGAGTCGGGGTCCCGAACAGGGCTAACTTTTTAAGCCTCCTTTGAGGGTCATTCTTCAAGATGACTCTATCCCTTACCCCTAGACTTTAAAAACTTCCTTCAATCGACTCTATATATTCTAGATTTATACCTCGAGGTCCTCCAAAGTACCACCAAAGAGATTCTGTGCCGAACTCGTTATGGCTCGGCGAACAAAGGCGGAATTTCTCCCCGCCCAACCCCCGGCCGACGCTCAATGCCACCGCATCGACTTTACCCAGTCCGACCCACCGCTGCCTGAATACAAGGACCTTTGCGCTGCAGTCATTGACAATGCATTCACCAAGGAGGAATGTGACGAGCTTCTTCGTCTAGCCGAGGCCAGCACCGTCCCGTCAACGAAGCCCGGGGACCGGACCGCCGCCGCCACGGCCGAACCCACCTGGGAGCGCGCCATGATCAACCTGGGGAACGGCAAACAGGCGCTCGCAGTGGACACCCGCAACTGCGGGCGGATCATCTACGACTCGCCTGAATTGGCCGACAAGCTGCTGGCCCGGCTGCGGCCCTTCTTACAGGAGCTGGGGGGCATCGAGGTGATCGACAACCAGCCCCGGGTGACAGGCCTGGCCGGTCGCAACGCCGTCTACCGACTCACCCGTCTCAACGAGCGACTGCGCTTTCTGAAATACGAAGGGGGTGAATACTTCCGACCGCACTGGGATGGACACTACCGGACGCCGGACGGGCGCGAGACCTCGTACTACACGGTGCACCTCTATTTGAATGGGGATGGGGAGCAGGATCGCGCGGAACTGACGCGGGAGATGAAGCGCCTGGAAAAAGGCGAGGGCGTTGTGAACTTGGACACGAAGGGATCTCTGCTGGGCGGTGCGACCTCCTTTCTGCCTCGGTTCGAGGAGAAGGAGCGCCATCTTCGCATCTTTCCCCGGACGGGGTCGGTGCTGGTGTTTCAGCAGAATGATTTGCTGCATGGCGGGGATCCTGTGATACGTGGGGTCAAGTACACGATGAGGACGGATATCATGTATCGAAGGGATTGATTGAGCGGTGGTGGAGATTGAACTGCGAGGCCAGTCATGGCTTGTGGGACGGATGAAGGGTAGCTTAGCTGGGCTTTTCGAGTACCTGAGGAGAGATGTTAATGTATTATGATGATCTCATATTAGATATGCTTGTGAGCAATGCAGAAGTGGCTTTGTTCGGGGCGGGGGGGGTTACCCATACTCGGAAAGGTAACGCGAGAAGTAGACTCGGGATGAAAGCAGTCGAACACGAAGCGCAGGCGGAGGAATGCCGGGGTTGGCCTGAAGTTTCTGGGGGGCGGGATTGCGTCAACCTACCCGAGCCGTCAGTCAGCCAGTGCCAGTGTCAGTGTCAGTCAGCCCTCCAACAAGGCTGCCCGCCGGCATCCGCCATCGCTTGCCGATCCAGGGTCTTCCCTTCAAGGTTGATCGGCCACCTATGCATTACGATATTATTTATTGAAATCTTCGTCAAAAGGCTCTTTTTCACAGAATTAGAGCCACATCAAGTCAAAATGCGCCTGCCTAATTGCCAGTGATGAGGGGGGGCTCCTCTGACCCAAGCCCAGAAGCTGTCTGCCGCTGTCCGAACCACAAACGTCCATTGACCCCGAGTAGCTTTTGCTTCACCAGGAACCATGGCTCGTAGCTGCTCGAGCTCAGCCACGGACGAGTGCGTCCACTACCTAGTATAGCACTTTCATTAGTACCGTGCGGCGTTCCAATTCTAGACACACCAATGAGCAGCCGTGACTCTTCAGCCTGCCTGCCAGCTGTGCCGGAACCCCCCATGTTCATCGGTGAATCGGTGAATACAAATACTTGGCTGACCTCGGGCTTCGTCAACACCCAAGACATCCTGCCCAACGGCAGCTCAGCCCTTTGATATATATCGGGGTCTGGCATTGCAGCGAATTCGACCTCTTTCACACGAGCTCTGCAGCTGTTGATGGCAGGCGGCTTGACGGTGATAGTCAATATGAAAATCACAGCTACGTTTCTCATTTTAGCGGGCTCGCTGTTCGGTACGTCGATGCCCTTCCATGACTATCCTCTTTTCTGGCTGATTATTTGAACAGGCGCGACAACTAGCGCAGAAGATGGGGCCCGCAAACATAAAATGCTACAGCGCGCGCTACCCAACGCCCCCGACGGCTACACCCCGGACAATGTGAGTTGTTCGGCTACTCGGCCTACAGTGCGCAGTGCCTCGACTCTCTCCTCGAACGAGACCTCGTGGCTCAAGACTCGCCGGGGAAAGACCGAATCGGCCCTGAAAGACTTCTTCGGCCATGTCACCATTGCAGACTTCAACGCAACGGAATATATCGACCGAGTCTCCGGAAACACCTCGAACCTGCCCAATATCGGGATTGCGGTATCTGGAGGCGGCTATCGAGCCCTGATGAACGGTGCAGGGGCCATCAAGGCATTCGATAGCAGGACGAACAACTCCACGAGTGATGGTCAACTTGGTGGCTTGCTGCAGTCGGCAACATACCTGGCTGGCTTGAGCGGCGGCGGCTGGTTGGTTGGTTCGGTTTATATGAATAACTTCAGTACCATTTCCCATTTGCAGACGTACGACGACGGCGACATCTGGCAGTTCCAGAATTCCATTTTCGAGGGACCAGAGGGAAATGGCATTCAGCTATTTGACTCTGCCTCTTACTATAGGGATATCTATGATGCTGTGCAGGGCAAATCGCGTGCAGGTTTCAACACTTCCATCACCGATTATTGGTGAGTGTACATTGCCCTCAGGCTAAGATTCGAGAGTCGCTGACCGTGATGTGCTAGGGGGCGTGCCCTTTCTTATCAGCTGATCAATGCTTCCAATGGGGGGATCGACTACACCTGGTCGTCAATCGCTCTGACCGATTCCTTCAAGAAGGCCGAGATGCCAATACCGATACTGGTTGCTGACGGTCGATATCCGGATGAGCTACTTGTGAGTAGCAATGCTACCGTTTACGAATTCAATCCCTGGGAATTTGGCACCTTCGACCCTACCGTCTACGGATTTGCGCCTATTGAGTATCTAGGGTCTCGTTTTGTAGCTGGGTCTCTTCCTCAGAATGAAAGCTGTGTTAGGGGATTTGACAACGCGGGCTTTGTGATGGGGACTTCATCGAGTCTTTTTAATCAGTTCCTCTTACAGATTAACTCTACAGCTCTCCCGGACTTCTTGAAATCGGCTTTTACGAGCATTTTGGAGGACATTGGACAAGAAAACTACGACATCGCGCTCTACACACCAAATCCTTTCTACCATTGGGCCAACAACTCGTCGCCAGCTGCAAATGAAACCATGCTCGACCTAGTCGATGGTGGTGAAGACCTCCAAAATATCCCACTGCATCCACTGATTCAGCCTGAGCGCCATGTTGATGTCATCATCGCGGTGGATTCGTCTGCTGACACTGACAATAATTGGCCGAATGGTACTGCTATGGTTGCTACCTACGAACGGAGCTTGAACTCCACGGGCATCGGAAATGGAACAGCTTTCCCGGCGGTTCCAGACCAGAATACCTTCGTCAACCTGGGCCTCAATACGCGGCCGACCTTTTTTGGCTGCAACTCGTCGAATCTGACAGGACCAGCGCCACTGATTGTCTACCTTCCCAATTACCCATATGTGTCTTACTCGAACGTTTCCACCTTCAAACCGGAATACGAAGAGTCGCAGAGAGATCAGATCATCCAGAATGGGTACGACGTTGCGACAATGGGCAACAACAGCCGTGACGCGGATTGGTCGACGTGTGTGGGGTGCGCGATTCTGAGTCGATCGCTCGAACGCACCAACACCAGCGTCCCGGATATCTGTAACCGGTGCTTTGACAGATATTGTTGGAACGGCACGACGAACTCCACCACACCGGGCGAGTATAAGCCAGCTGTTGTGTTCAGCAGTGAAGGCGCTATTGTGTCGCGTGCTGTATTTCTTGGTGCCTTGGCGGCAACAGTGACTGCGGGCGCTTTGCTGTAAACTTTTCTGGGTAATTCCTATGAAGCCGTGGCTTTGGTGGTTTCTTGATCATATAAGTCTTTTCGAACAGTACTAAGCACAGTAAAAGTTCTTGATAGCAGTATTGTGCATACATGCATGCAATGTATGGCTTGGATATCTTGTGCTCCGTACTCTGAATAGATCTCTGTAGATGATCGATGCGGATTGGCTGACATCACGTGCCGCGTTGTCAGGGGCAACCAGCCCCTCGACTTCCCAAACAAGCAAGGTCGACAACACGCGGCGGCGGGCAGGCTTGGTTGGTTGCTTCCACCCAAGCTCGAACTCTGACGAAACGCCCAACGCTCGCTCGCCGCCGAAAGCTGCAAGCTTATTCCACCACAACCTTAACCCATTCAACACCCAACGCCCTTCGCCCCCCCCCCCTGCCCTGCTTGCTACGACCATCTTACATATCGGACTTCGAGGGCAATCTGACATAGTGGCCATTGATTTTGTCACTACGAGCAGTCACACAATGAGAGCAGAGTGAATTCGTCGACACTAACCCGGCTCCCTCCCTCCCCGCGCGCGACACATTTGACGCAACGAAAAACAGCAACAGAGTGAGCGGGAGGAACCAACAACCACCGACCTCAACCCCTTCGGATCTTCGACGCGTGAAGGCGCGAATAACAGACAGCATGGCTCGCGCAGCAATCATCCCACAGTCCCCGCCCAAGCGGGCAACGCGCACCCGCACCAAGGGAACGACAACCGCGACCGCGACGACGACGGCGGCCAGCAGCAGAACCGCGCCGAAGACCACGAAGGCCAAGGCACCTAGCTCCGCCACGGAGGCCAGGAAGCGAGGCGTCCGGACCGCGTCAGTCACGACGACCACCGCCGCCACCACCAAGCGACCCGTCGAGGAGGAGGATGCGGATGCGACGACGGACGATGAGATCGATATGTTCGCCGGGAGTCGTAGGGGGAAAGGAACGGCCACGTCGAAGCCTAAAGGGAGGCCGCCCGCAGCGAAGGCGGGGGCCAGTGCCGTAGTCCCGCGCACGCGAAAGACCCCGGTGGTCGCGACGCCGGCGGCGGCGGAATCGGACAGTGACAACGACGACGAGCTGGCTCAGTCGGAAGTGGTACCGAAGAAGCGCGCTGGAAGGCCGAAGGCGAAGCCCGCCGTCGCCGTCGCCAAGGAGGCGGACAAGGCTGCTGCTGCTGCTGCTGCTGCGCCCAAGACCCGAGGTCGACCAAAGGGCACTGCGGCTGCGAAGCCGAAGGTGGTCGACGAATTGAAGGAAAATACGCGATTGAACGCCAAAGGGTTCACGGATATCGACTTCTCCTCGTCGCAAGAGGCCCCGAGGCAAGTATACATCACCACCCACTCTTCGTCCGTGAGATCGAACATGCTGCGCGGACCGGCCAAGAAGAAGACAGTCACGTTCCAGGATCCCACAGATTCGGATGCGGATGAATTGAATGAGCCGTCTCCTCCGCCGGCTGGCAGGAGAAGGGGCGCCGCCACCGTCTCAGGGCGCCAGGGAGGTCTTGCGTCCAAGCCGGTGCGGAAACCCGCGGCCACCTCCGGTAGGGGCCGCAAGCCTGCGGCAGCGAAGAAGGACGACTCGTCGAAGCCGCTGTCGCCGAAGAAGGCGACGCAGGTCGCCAAAGGGCTTTCTTCCTACGCCAGCTCGGATGGCGAGGACGACGAGTTAAGTGCGGACAAAGATCAAATGAAAGCAATCCTTCAATCGCCTCCCAAACACGGATCAGAAAATACCGGACTCAGCTCCCCAGTCAAGAAGATCAATCTCACTGGACGACATTTTCGCAAGTCCCTCGATGAAAATGGCGACCCATTGCCCGGTCCTCGACGTTCAGTCGACTTCAACGATAATAACCTTCTCCTGTCGAGCCCCGCCCGCCGACCACCCCCTTCGCCATTCAATTTCACAATGAGGGAAACACCCAGACGAGGTGGTGGTCTGACTCTCCGCAGTGACATTCAGCCCTTGTCGCAACCCACGTTGTCACCCACCCTCAACTCTCCGCTCAGGCTCTCTCCGAAGAAAGCGTCCCTGGAAACCCCTCGACGCGGCAATCTCTTTGGCACCAGTACCGGATCGGTGTCTCAACCCAACTTTACCCCGGGACTCAACTCCCCCCTGAAATCCTCGCCCAGGAAAGGTCTGTTTGGCGCGTCCTTCATGTCTCAATCTCAACCGGAACCTTCCGCCACTCCCTTGAGACAAAGCACGTCCCTCCTTCAAAGTCCCGCGAAGAAGGTCGCCACTCCGTTTAAAGCTTCTCTGTCCGTCATGAAGAGCCCAGTACCTGAAGAGTCCGAGCACGAGAATGACAACGAAGAAGAACCGGAAGACAACGATACTTTTGATGACTCTCACCTTGAGGAATCCCCTCTCCGACTCATGCAAACCAGGGTAGAGACTCAGGCCGATGAGGAGGATGAAACGACTCAAGACGTGGCGTCTGAGGAGAATGACGATCTCGACCCTGTCAGCACAACCCCGCCTCATTCGCCTTCTCTAGCACGCCACTATGAGAAACGTGCGGCAAATGGAGAGACCGCAGAACACGATTCTGAGGAGACTGTTGAGTACGTCGAGGATGATGCTAGTACAGTTGCTGAAGACGTCGCTGAAGTCGTCGGTGAAAACGTGGAGGAAGAGGGTAATCAGAGCGAGGATCAAGCCATGGAAGAAGATGCTGGAAGCATGGCAGAGGTATCCGACATTGACGAATTGGACGAGGTCGAGCCTGCCCCTGAGCATGTGGATGTGCCTATGGAGGAGACTGGCGAGGAAGTGATCCAGGAGGCAGCCGAAGATTTCGAAGAGATCTCAAATGCGGAGCCCATTGAGGATGTCAACGATGAGAATGTTGATGAGTCGAATGAGGATTCCCTTGGAGAGCCTGATTTTGAGGATATTCCCGAGTCTCAACAAGATGCTGACAAGGAAACGGATGATCTGCAGGCTGCTGCCGAGTCTGGGGCCGGTGCAAAAGATCATAAAGATGATCCCGTTGTTCGCGAAATTTCAGTGGATGCAACACTGGACGATGCTTCTGATGGGGACAATCAGGAACAGGAGGATGACCGTGTCAATCTGGACCAAGACATGCCCGAGACAGTATCTGATGCTGAAGACGGCCATCGGGATGCAATTGGCCAGGAACGCGCGGCAACACCCAATCCAGTTGTAGAAGAGGAGGTCGACATTCCACTTGCGGAGGAACAACACACGCCCATCCCCAAAATCCGAAACAGCTTAGCCAAGGACCTTTACGATGTCTTTGTCGATGAACCCACACTACCTGAACAGGCGGACCAGCGTCTTGACTCTTCGGATACGGAGGACGACCCTGACATGATGGAGACCGATGATGATGTTGGCGCTGCAGAGGAAGATTTGTCCCTTAATCAGCAAGAAGACATCATTGAGGATTGCGTCTTCGAAGAAAACGAGCCCACCATTGTTGTTGCTGAACCAACAGAGATCATTCCGCGCAGCCGTGTCCCCATCTTGCCATACGAGGTTGAAGAGCCAGAAAATCCTTGGAGTCCAATTCGTGAAGCCTACTATAGAGCGATGAAGAACATCTCACCAGTCCGCGTTTTACCAGACAGCCCTGTACGGCGGAATATGAGCTTCGAGTCTGCCGCTGACAGCCCGAGCCCGGTTCGACAGGGCTTCACGGTTGACACCAGTGGCAATCAAGACCCCTTCGTCGACCCCAATTCCGCGACACCACTTCTCAGACGGTCTATAAAGCGTTCGATCTTTGACAACGCTCCGCGTTTCACACCTCTGGCGCAGCAATTCAGCCAATGGAAGGCCAGCAGTCCCGCGCGATCCCAGCCTCGGCGTTCGCAACGCCCACGCAAAGGTATATTCTCTTTGGGTGGCAACCGCAGGTCATCCAGCAACGTGATGCCCGCCCCGGTAGAGGTCACATATCCTCAAATCGACAGCCAAGCGGAAGAGGCTTCGGAGGAGCCTGTGCAGTCGGAAGCGGCTGATGCCGGTGCTGAAATTGCTGAGGACGGGGGTCCTCAGATTGACAAGGGTGGCCCAAGCGTGCAATCGGTGGAAATTGACGCAAATGAAACTACGGAGGCAGAACCACAAGCTTCTAACGAGAACGTCGATTCTCAAATTGAAGAAGATTACAGCCACGACTCACAGGTAGCAGAGACTGAGGCTGCTGAAGCCGTAGAGTCTGCAGAAACTGCCGGGCAGGTGACAGGGGTTACTGACGGTCCCGAGGACTACGAAGATTTCAGCCAGACCTCTGGCTTGGAAGAGCCTGGCACTACTGAGGATGCTGAGCAGATGTCCGAGGAGGACGAGTCGGAGATCTACGAAGGCCTTAGCCAGAGCTCTCGTCCGTCACAGGCCGACAACACCGAAACTACCGAGCCTGCTGAGCTCATCGAGCGAACCACTGAAGTTGTCGATGGTACTCAAATCTTGCAAGATTTCAACATGCAATCTCAGGCGGAAGAGACTATTCTTGCCGAGACTGAAGAGCCGGTCACTGAGAATGTCGACGGCCCTCACATCTATGAGGACCCTAGTCAAGACTCCCAATTAGAGGCATATTCCTCTGAAAATATTCAGGAGACAGAAGGCCCTGTGGTTGACATGCCAAATGGGACAGAGGTTGAGGCTACCCTTGACAACTATACCGACGAGGACCCCCGCGAGGAGTTAGTGATGGAGATCGCTTCTGTGTCGAACAGCCAGCTCCCTGCAATCGATGCATTTGATGATAACAAGGAGAATGAGGTCTTTTCCAACATTCCTCTCTTCACCCCTGTCAAGAACCGAATTCCTCAGATGCAAACAGTACACACTGTTTCCAAGGTGCCTCTCAAACCCGAAGGTCATATTTCGCCGCTGAAGATTTCACGCAAGAGAGGTCTCTCGCTTTCGGGTGCTTCGCCTATTCGTGCCTCCACCAGAATCCGCACTTCGACCTTCGCTCCTACCCAACAG